TGATTTTGATCATAGTCATCATAATATGATCAGTAGGCGAGGAAGATTAATTTGGGATATAATCTATGATATCGGAAACTTTAATTAACAGACAAATACAATTAAAAGCATACGGTTACAATCAAATGCATTTAAAATTCAGGTAAACTATAATTTGACCTTATTTAGTTTTGGCTCTCTTTTCGGTTTCATTTGATTTTGCTGTCCAAAGCATTTTATGTTTAAGATATTTGTTTAAAATCATCTCGCTCAAATATTAAATGATCTTAACAATTCGATTAATTCCAGTTCTAAACAACACTAAAAGGCTCCAGTTATTTTATTTAATGAAACGCATTGAAATTCTGCTTACATATGAATAAAACGAAATGTTGGGTAAAGTTGAACGGGACAGCAACCGAAAGACATATATCTCTTACTGCTATCAAGCTGATGCCTTCTACCTTTTTACAACTTTTTTTTAAATAAGCTTATATGCATTCTTATCAAATGTGTTAAATAAATAATGGATATTTGTGTCAGTTATTAAAAGAAGATCAAAGAAATAACGATCCACGTTGGTTACTTTTACAACTGTCGCAACAATAAAACTTTCGTATTAGAGTACACCAATATACTTTTCAAATAAACGTTTTGTGGTATTTTATTAGTGAAGATATTTTCCCTATATGGTTCCTTACGTTGGAAAAGAAGACAATTTCACAATAGTTGTAAAACACGTCATACAATTAAGAATCAAGATCATTCTAAATAAACTCTCATAGATACCAGGATTGAACTTTTCTACGCTTGACGCGCGTTTCGTATACAAAAGACTCATCAGTGACGTTCGAGTACGAAATTGAAAAGCATTTATGACCCGAGAATCCGAAAAGTTTCCCAAATACAACTATATATAGTAATCTATTCCTGGGATAGAAAATCCTTAGTATATCGAAAAATTCATAGCTTTGTAAACAGATAATTTATAGTTAAGTTATAGATAATGCATATTTTAAGGTTTTTCTTGTATAGCACACCGATGGGTGTCAGGATTGATCAAGTAAAAGTCTGACCGTAGGTATGTCTTTCTGTGGGCAATCCTGACACCCTGAGGACATATTTGTTTCGAAAGTTAAAATGTGCGTTAACGACAATTTTTGGTCTTTCAGTCTAATAAACAGAGGAAAGGATTGTTTCTGCCTTAAACCTATCAAAGATGGAAAGTTCGAAAGTGAAACCCCAATTGGTCAAACATTTAACAAAATGTAACTACAAATATAGGGAAGTATTGTTGAAGTATGTAGGTCGTATTATACTTTCGGCTTATTAGCATTAAATATATACAATTTATTATGAGAATTGCAAAAGATAGTACATGTCTTTTTGTACTATTCATAACATTGCTGAATGAAATATATTTTAATAACAACCAGCAATATTAAAGTGCAGGACGACATGATTTTATATAAGCAACTTCCAACCTTCTTTTTTTCGTATTGCTAATCATTGTTTTGCTGTGTTGCTGAAAATTGGGTTTTGTTATACATTATTCCAATATAGAATTAGATACAAGCAACAGTTGTTTACCAATGTTAAAAATCATAAAGCGATTATGAACACAAATCAAGATAAAGCACAAAAACTGAGGGAACCGCATGCACTCCAAAACGAGAGAGACTGGGTGTATCGACAGGTTTAAAATCTCCTGCTATGCATGCATCTCCCGTCATGCCAATCAACACTGAGTCAAAATGTCATAATCGGGGACAGGACACAATCCATAAATTCGTTTGAAGTCTTTCCTGTAATGATTATTATTGTCCGCTCTTTAATATACCCTTTGTAAGTACACTGATTTAGATTAAAAAGGAGAGGGTTGAAAAATTGAAAAAAAAACCGACACATATATAAAGATAAGGAGATGTGGTATGATTGCCAATGAGACAATTTTCCATTTAAAGTCCAAATGGCATTGATATAAGCAACTACATGTCACCGTAGGTCTTCAACAATAAACTTAACCCATACTGTATAGTTGGCTATCAAATAAGAAAACAAACGACCTCATTTAGGACAAAACAATACGAAAACCAAACATCACATTGTGCCTTACCCGCGTGAGGAATCCTGTCGGTGGTTGTTTTATGTTATCCTCCATTTTATTTTTTTTAAAGAAATGTGTGTATTTCATATTTAGACAAATCATTCAACCTTTTTTAAGTACTGTTGTTTGTCGTTTGGTCGTATTTCGCTTTTTGCCATGGCGTTGTCAGTTTGATTTCGACTTATGAGTTTGGATGTCCCTTTGGTATCTATCGCCTCCTTTTTAAGACTAGGTTTGATTTAGACCTTATTACTTTCATAGACACTTGTTGAAGGCCGTATGTTGACATACAATTTAATTTGATTATTTGTTTCGTTTGGATAGTAGCCTATTGACGTAAACTCGAATCCCTTTAAATCGAATAGCAAGAATTTAATTGATTTCAAAAAGTTGTTTTGGAAACATAATCACTTTTTCTGAGAAAAAATTACTATCTTAAATGAATAGTGTCCTCAGTAAACAATGGTTGAACTAGCACATTAAAGAGTCAAAAATGATAGACTTAGGAATATAACGAAAAGGCAGTAATTGTGTATCGAATTGATACAATAACAATAACAATATAAGGACAAGGCTTAAAAACGGGGGAAATTTCATTATTAATTTTAAATTCAAAGGAATTCTTTAACAAGATTGCTATTCCTCTGCTCCTGTTTGAGTAGCTACTAAAGTTACCTGTATGTCCCATTCTTGAAGTCATTGACTTTCATTTTCTAAACAACAGTGTGTATCAATCAGCGCTGTAATATGATATCGTTCCTTACAAATTGAAAAGATATTTAATGTTTTTACCTTATTTGCTAATCCCATACCGTTTACATATCCATCTACTACAGATGCCATAGATATAGATATAAGAAGATGTGGTATGAGTGCCAATGAGACAACTCTCCATCCAAGTAAAAATTTATAAAAGTAAACCATTATAGGTCACAGTACGGTCTTCAACACGGAGCCTTGGCTCACACCGAACAGTAAGCTATAAAGGGCCCCAAAAAATTACTAGTGTAAAACCATTCAAACGGGAAAACCAACGGTCTAATCTATATAAAAAACGAGAAACGAGAAACACTTATGAACCACATCAACAAACGACAACTACTGAACATCAGATTCCTGACTTAGGATAGGTGCAAACAAATATTTTGTCAATAAAATAATATCCACATATTATTTGTTGCTATCTGCCCCAAGTGATTTATATAACCTACATGTTTTGCATACTGTACACCTGTACACCAAGGATTCATATCTTATGCTGTCCTAAATTATTTTGGTTGTGTGTGTGGGAACCCCCTCCCCCCAAAAAAAAATTTGTAATCTAAACACATTTTGCCAATATGAATCTGCCCTTTTATATTACGATCTAAAGCAAAATACCAGAAAAAGAAAAAAGGAGAAAGCCTCAAATGACGCTATGTTTAAGAAAAGTAAGAGAAGTTGTCTCAAGAATAAAAAAAAAAATTAGAGTATACACCTCAAGCACTAAGAAAATGTTCACGGTCTGCACACAGGACAAGAGACATACATTGTTATTATAATGGGAAAGTCAATTATGAAATTTTATTATTTTAAACAATCAATGCACTACAAACCAGTAAAAGTCTGAAATGGCCTATATCTGTACTCGACTGTACTGATTTTTACTCGACCAGTCTGAATTGGTCTGAATTTTAATTAATATTACTCGACCCAGTCTTAACCATACTCGACTGTACTGATTTGTACTTGACCCTTATCTTTGCTATTGAAAATAGTCTCAACTATTACTCTACCAGTCTGAAACAGTCTTAACCCATTCTCGTCCTGTACTCGACCAATACTTGATCAGCTCTCGACCTATTTTTTTCATTCTGAACCGTACTCTACTAAAGGTCTGAACAATACTCGACCAGTCCGAACCATACTTGACCAAATAACCTCTACTTTTTATAATTTTGATTGTTAAAATAACTTTTTTAACTGACATGACAACAGCCACAATAAAATAAAGATATTTATAAAAACAGATTTTTACATCCTTACATGATTCTCTTAGATTTATCAAATCGAGATAGTTAAATTATCTAATTTTAAAGTCGTGAGTCTTGTTAAATAAAAAGACTTTCTTTTACCTGAAAACCACAGCTATACTGAGGGTAATAAAACCTTATTAAGGTTCTTTTTGTTTGGCATGTGTTGTTCTTTTTTAATCAAAACTTGATTTTCCTAAATTCCTAAATAAAAACTACTTAGGTTTCATGGTTACATACAATAAAGAGGTAACAACAGCAAACAAAATCACTCACATTGTTTAACCTTATATCAGAAATATATCTATTACTATTTATAATTTGGGATATATATATTTTAAAAAGGGATAAAAAATTAAAGAAATGATTAGGGGTAAACTATAAAGTAATACATCCTGCTTGGGGCACACTGATTAAAAAGATCACACCTGGTCAGAGAGTAATACATTTTAAATAACATCCATAAAACTTAAATAACAAGGCTTTTTGAATCCACTAGATAAGTAATACACGAGTTTAAGAAAAATAGGATTTTCTTTTTACCTGTAAAACACACCTGTACTAAGGTAAAGTGCTTCTTGTATGCCAAGTCTTTAATTTTGACAAAACTTATTTTAAATTTAATTAAAATAAATTTCTACTGAAACTTTGGAATGCATTTTCTTTTTTAAAAGGTTATCAAGGATTGCTATGAAAGTATTATTATGATTTAAATTTTCCTGAAAAATTCCCATACCGCGCAATGTTCTCTAAATCCTGCTGTGTTTTGATTTGCAAAATGTAAAATACATAACACAAACGTATATACGTGTACGCACAATAACGAATTCCATGAAAAACATTTTCTGCTAATTAGAATATTACTTGGAAAGGTGTAATTTTACAATCAACATATTTTTAAATCAATAACCATTATTATTTATCTTGGGAATTAAATCCTGAAAATAGTTGCATGACTAGCCAGGTCCAATAAAGAGGAAAATAGTGGTAGGTAATTTTTAATTTTATATTAGTTTTCATTTATTTATTCAATACTGAGTCGGATTATGTTTAGTTGTATACGTTCAAATATATCACTACTTACTATATATATTTATTCATTTTAGCGTTATTTCATATCGTTTACAAAGTTTACTTTTAATTTGTGTATTGCACTAGTATATTACGTGATTCAGTCGTTAACGTTACATCTTCTACTTTACAATTTGTCGGAGTATGGTTTCGTTATATTATATTATAAACGATTTAACAAACAACGATTAATTGTTAACTCAAATAGGAAAAGAAAAGATGTCAATTTACACACTTCCTCTTGTAATTCTAATGCAAGCGTTAAAACAACAATGTTGAATTTGGTTATGTGTAAAATCAGATAGCTGCTTTTCATATGTATCTTTAAAACACTGTGAATCTGAATATATATCGTTAAAATGAATGCAGATATTGTTGTAATTTTGTGATATTGTTGTTTCTTTGAAATGTTTATATCAATTGGTCATAAATTGAAATTCTAAACAGCAAAGGAACACACTGATAAATGATGGATACAGTATATTCAATACTAAATGTTACTGACCTGATTTTTGTTATTTTTTTCCAATACGAACATAAATAGTATTGCTAAAATGAATTGTTATTGTTGTGTATAAATTACTCAAATAACATAATTTAGCTTGTCTTTAACAATTGCAGCTTCTCGTCATTTGTATTCATTGCTAAAAGATGCTGTCCATATTGACATTGATCCTCATCGTTTCAACAGCTTATGCAGGTAACCTTTGATGAAAAAGACAACTAAGTATTAATATTTTCTGTATGAATAAACCTCATATAAGTATCCTGGATTTTAATTGGTTGATAGCAAATGCATCTTTCGTGTTTTTTTTTTAAATAAGATAACTATTGTTAGTCTCACTATATCCGAGGTATATGCACAAGGATATGCCTTTTAAATTTTTCAATCCTCTTTGCAATGATATATGTCAAAGCGTTCATGCCTTTTTTACACTTCACGAAGACGCTTCATCATTTGTGGGCTTTTTTAATGGACTTTTTAAGAAAAAAGGTAAATCAATTGAATTAAATTTCAAATGTTTAACTTCACCATCTCTATTCATATTCGGTGTAATTAAACAGATATATATCATGCGAACATTACCTTCGCCTGGCTGTTCAAGAAGTTTTACTTTCTCATCACTTGTGTTTTTCGCAAGTACCCATCATGAACATGATATTTCAACCTTCAAACGACCTCCTTTTCTTCACATGTTTCTATTATTTCTTTTTAATCAATGACAGTATAAAATAGATTTATAAGGTATCAACACTTTCACAATTTCACAATACTAACAGGACATTGGCCAAAAGGAACGTATACACTTGTCAAACCTAAAACAGGATGCCCTTCAAGATGGAAGGAAGGATGGCGGAAGCAAGACAATGAAGATCGTAGGAACTCTAACAGCATAACACCTGGACATCATTTCCATGGTAGGTTAAAATTATTTGTTAAGAAAAATAAAATTGCAGATTCTATCTAGCCATCAACTCAAACATTGCTTCTGTGCGAAAAACAATAATGGTTTCCACATCTAAATCGTGAACACAGAAAAATATGTTGATACGATGTGTTCTGTTTCCTTGTCATATATAACATGTACATGTTGGTTAGGTAAACTGAATGGTTTAAAATACTAGCCGGTTTACCTTGCAGGTTCCTTTGGAGGAAACATGGTATTCCACTTTTGTACCAAGGATGAGCATGTCATATCCGGTAATTATAATTGGCCAAGAGGAAACTACTGTATTTTGAGGCAAGGAATATCCTGTCCACCAGGTATATGTATTTTAAACTTAAATAAAATGATCAGAACTCGAATCCCATACAAAACCTTGGGTGATATCAGGAGCTCCGGAAGGGTAAGCAGATCCTGCCGTGTTGATCATGGTATGGGTAGGTCAAATTTCGATGATAGGTCTCAATCGGTGATGTCAAGGTTGAGGAACAGAGGTCGGGATTGGGTCTATAGCTTACATTCCAGAGATGACTATTTTTATATACTCCCGTCACCCATAAGCGTTGATAGTTTCGAAATACAAGAACATTGGCTTTCGTATGAGACAGATATTTATTCTCCATAATAAGGGTCAGTATCAATCGAACAAATAGAAAGCAACACAACAACAGACACAAACACAAATATAATTGTCAATTTAAATAGTTCCGATGATAATAGTTATAATGAAATTATCTTTTGAAAAGGCACACTTAAAAAGTAAAATATCAAAGATAGCGAACTCCAAGGAAAATTCAAAACGGAAAGTCTTTTATCAAATGGCAAAATCAAAAGCTCAAACACATCAAACGAATGGAAAACAACAGTCATATTCCTGACTTGATACAGGCATTTCCTCATGTAGAACCTGGTTTTATAGCTAGCTAAACCTCTCACTTGTATGACAGTCGCATATAATTCAATTATATTGACAACAATGTGTGATTAAATCGAACAGACATGATAGGTAAAATTGTCAAAAATTGGGGTACAGCAGTCAACATTGTGTTATAATCTTAATCACTATAAAATCAAATAATTATTTCAAGAAAGACAAACAAAATGGCATATAGACACTCTATAGACAAAGTACATGGGCAAAAATGAAAGACGAGAGTACAAAAATGGCCATAGCACAATAACACAACGAATGTATTAATACCGAGCCACGCCAAAAGTATATTACCAGAAATGGACTAAACAATAAAGGTTAAAAATATATAAAAAGACAAATAAAAGCCCCATAACACGTAATTAAGATGATAAACAACGTCATTACATAGAATCTATACTTCAGGACCATCATGTATTATTTGTGAAGTTGATACGGAATATTTATCAACAAGATCTTGGTATCTTCCAAAGAACTTTTTTAGAAAAAGGACGAAACGTTCCTTGACATAACCCTGGTTCGTCAACTTTCTGCTCAGACACTGGTGACATTTTACAAAGTCTGAGTAGCAGCTGCAAGCTCTTAAATACTGAATGAGTTGGGAAATGTATATCCCATATGCAGGTGAAGTTGGTATATTGCTGCTAAAGTGGGTGAAATTTATAATTTCAAAATTAAAATCGTCTCGTTTGGGAGAAATCCGTGATTTTTATTTCTTTAATTTTAGTTCTTGAGGATATATTAATAGAACCAAATCAGATGGAAAGAACATATCAATATATCTGAGTGTGAAATTAAACTACTCCTTGCAAATCACCTCTTTGTGATTTTGTTTTTGATTATGCAAGTAAGAATAATGGTCAAAGACAACAAAGAGCTGCGCTGACAGTCTTCAAAATTGTTATATATGTGTTCATCCTTTCTCTAATATCTCGTTTGATCATAAGTATGCACATTTTTGAAACATTATTTTGGCTTATGTTTGGTAAGAACGCACATACACTATAAAGTCAATTGATAACGTAAAACGGTTTATTTTTGATTATCGTTCATAAGTTTTGTTTATCCGATTTATTTTACTTTATGATTATGGTTATAGTGTCGTAGTATTTTAGAATAATGAATTTACCTCTATGTTTGAACACTTTGTGTTAAAGATAATGCATTATAACTGTTTAGGTTTCAGGACCGGAAGTATTCATTGGGATGATGAAGACAGACGAAATTCAAATGCACTCGGGGGTGTACTTCCCAGTGGATCATATGGGAGAAACACTCTCATAAACTATTGCTGCAGGTATAACATTTTGAATAAGAATACAAGCTAATATGAGTTATCATTTATTGCTACACATACCCTTTTGACGCACTCGGTCTCGTTCTGTTTGGAGTTCATGTAAATCCCTCATTTTTGTATGTTACCTGGATGTGTCTATTCTTAATCGATTAAAGAATTTTTAACGTTACACTTAATTGAAACAAAATACCCAAGCAGTACTATGAGTATCCTCACATACATTATTATTTCATTGTTTTCAGATCTGACGGTTTAGCACGAAAAAGAATCATTCTTCCAAAAAATAAACCATTCTATTTATTGCGATTTCGATCACCATGCCAACAGGTGAAAGGAATGCTTGTCAGAGAGGAGATTGTGCACTCAGATGACGAGGACAGTAGAAACAAAAATAGTGTCAGCGGAAGTCATCCGATGAATGATGGGGGCAGAAACAACAGGCTCTTCTACTGTTATTATTATTAAATTTTTACTACCGGAAGCCTCACAACGAATGTAGGGGAAAACAACATATTCTTCTATTGTTATTTAACCTGAATAAATTGCAGAGATTCAAATAATGAATCTTTTTTAACATTCATCATGCATTTTATTTTTATTTATCATTGAGTGTTCGCATACATACACGAAGTATATATAGTTAACTTTGTTTTGGGTGCATGAGATTCTATCCATGTTGTCTGTGTCGTGTTGTCATGAAGAACATCATCCATTGGATGTTGGATGTGTACAGATTGATATTTTAGTCTTGGATACATGATTTGTTTTCATTAGTTGTTATTGGCTTTGAACTAGCTGTCAGTAACTGCGAGTACTCTCAGATCTGTACTTAGTGTCTTTTTGTTTTTGTGATGTATAAGTACCCGTCCACTTCCACTCTGTGCTTTTGTTAGATGTATTTCTATTTGTATCCATCTGATGAGCTAAGCCTTTTTTCATCCGATTTTGATAGTTTGTTCTTATATTGTACTGTTACACCACTGTCCCGGGTTAGGAGGAGGGTTGAGCGCTCACAAACATGTTAATCCCGCCACATTCTTTATGTGCCTGTCCCAAGTCAGGAGCCTATAGTTCATTGGATGTCGTTGATTCATGTATGTCATATTTGTTTTTCGTAAATTGTTTTGTTATAAATTAGACCGTTAGTTTTTTTTTCAATTGAATTCTTTCATATTTTTCATGTCGGGGCCTATTATAGCCGACTATACGGTATTGGTTTTCTCATTGTTGAAGGCCGTACGGTTGCCTATTATTGCTTACATCCACTTCATTTGAACTTTGGTGGATAGTTGTCTCACTGGCAATCATACCACATCTCCTTATTTTCATATCATATCATTTGTTTTGATATCTTCAGATATGTTTGTACACTTACTTTATACTTTAAACGGGTATTGGAATTCTATCTTGAAATATAATAAGTTTCACTATTTTTAAAAGAGAGGCGAAAGATACCAAAGAGATATTAAACTCATTAGTCGAAAACGAAGTAACAATGCCAAAGGAAGGAACAAAAACTTACCAAAAGACATACAACAGTACACATAACACATCATAGAAAACTTAAGACTGAGCAACACAAACCACACAAAAACCCGGAGTCGATCTCTGGAAAGGTTAGCAGATCCTGTTTCACATGTGACATTCTTTGTGTTACTCCTATAAAGTACGTTGATACACTATATCGACTCTTATCTAACCCTTAATAGCTCTTTCAATTGCCAACGGTCTTTTTTTTAGACTTGGCAATGGTTGCCAATATTGTCTGTTCTGTAATGATACATGTAAGGTCACAGTTGGATAGGGACAATACATTGAGGTTCGAAACGGGGTTTCAATGCAACTACTCTCATAAATTCAATTTTCCAAAAAACTTTTCGAATCGACTTCTCCTTTTTCGTGTTTTATCCCAATGTTGAACATTCATGCTAAGGCTGTGGGTCCAGTTGAATTAATCATTGGTCCATAAAGCAGGTATCCGAGTTCCGATTTTACTGCAGTCGGACCTGGTCCACGGATTACTATATATTCTACGATGTCACAGTAGTAATTATAACTTATCAAAAACTGAAATCTCAAATTAAGTCCTGTCGCTTACAGGGTTCGCTAATCTACATCCACTAAGGTACAGCAGTTTAACAGCATTCTTTCCCCTGCGATTGTGTAATGTGCTGCGATCGTCATTTTTCTTCCACTCTGAGTTTGCAAGTCTATTGTGGTAGTGTCTAGGTTGTGAATATTTCTCGTTGTATCTCCAAATGCTGCAAGGCTTATTGTTGTCGAAATTCTAATTGGTTTCAATTGTAAATCGGCAGCTTACTCCTTGCTTATAAATTACTTCTAAAAAGTTTACTAGCAGTAACTGACATGTTATCTGCCCAAATTGCTGAGATTGCTGTTTTTCACAATAGCGGTATGTCTGGCCTTGGTTAAACGTACGATGTCGATGAATAAAATATTACAGTGTCATTGGCGCTCTCTACTGTGTTTATGAAGGCTTTTTCTTAGGTACAAGTTGCTATTCGTTTACACTTCCCTTTCTTGATTCTCGTCCTTGTCACAAAGGCTTGATATCACATTTCCTACATCAAAATCGTGAGCGATTGTAGCATACCCTTTTTAACGTAATACTAGCAAAGTTTCTTTCTCTGTCTACATCACTGGTACATTTGAGAGATGAATGCAATTGTAAGCAATAAACACAAGTTTTGGGATAGGTCTAGCTAGCTCTAAAACCAGATTTAATCCACCATTTTTTTTCGGAAAATGCCTGTTCCAAGTCATGAATATGGCAGATGTGTTTCACTTGTTTCGTTGATTGATAGCGTTTTTGTGGACTCCCCCTTTTCAATTTGCATTGGAGTTCGGTATTTTTGTTATTCTCTTTTGTTACGAACTGGGTTCGTACAGTTCTTTAGGGTTCGGCTGCTGTATAAAATGGTCCCAGGGGGTAAACCCGTCTGCAACTTTTCAAATAAGATTAAGACCAAAAGTGATTAGAAAATATCAAGTGATTGTCCGATCGACTCTTACCCGAGTATGAACAGAGGAAAATATAGTATTCAAAAATTACCTCCCCTGCAAACACTAAACATGTGGTGTTTTCAATGTTTGTCCCGTTTTAACAAGAACGATATTAATTATAAATTAACAAGAAAACTTTCTGGTAAATAGTAAAAAAACAAAATTAATTTTAAACAACTAAATGTAATGTTATCAATTCCCTCCTAATATAGCAAATGAAAAGTAAAGCAGGCTACAAATGCTTTGTGTAAATTGGTTTGAAATGTTGCTTTGTGAATAAATTCCTCGGGTCCCTAAAACAAAAAACGATGAAAAGACAAACAACATCTTACAAAAAACAACACAGAATACTAAAGACTGAGCAACACGAATCCCACCAGTTGAGAAAGGACACATTGATTGTAATTGACTTCTAACTAGATTCCAGTAGCTGTGCGTACACATAGATTGGCACTGTGTGTCTTTTGTCTTTTTATGACTGGTTTTGTGAATGGGGGTTAAGTGTCGATTTGATAAGTCAGGCCCTGTTTTAATAACTTTTACAGTTTGTTCTTATGGAACTTTTGCTGTTGCATTATTATGCTGTTGCACCTCTGTCCCATACTACAGGGAGGATTGAACGCTCGCAAACCTGTTTTACCCCATTACATTCTGTATGCGCCTGTCACAAGCCAGGAGCCTGTAATTTAGTGGTTGCTGTTGGTTGCTGTCTATAATATTTGTTTTTCGTTTATTGTTTTGGACATTAATGATTTTACATTTTGTAAAGTAGGGCCTTTTTAGCTATCTATATGTTATGGTATTGTTTATTGTTGAAGTCCGTACGGTGACATGTCTATGTTTATTTCTTTCTAGACGTTTTTTTTTTGTTTAATCGTTTTTCAAGGCTGCCATTTGGTTTACTTATGAACCACATCTCTTTTTTTCACATACAATCTTTGAATTGTATAACTTATTATAATATAATACAGCCTTTACAGTAATCGCTGTGCGGCAAAAAGGGGAATAATTTTTTAGAATGTTTGTTACAAGAGACTGGCAAAAACTTGATTTTCATGCTTTCTCAGCACTATTTGGTATAATATGAATATTCGAAACGGTTATTGATATACAAGTATATACATATGTAAATATTTGGTAATATTCAACTCAATTGGTTAAAATACACAAAATGAAATTGAGAATGGAAATGGGGAATATGTCAAAGAGACACCAACCCGACCAAAGAGCAGAAAACAGTTTGTATAAATATTTCAAACATTTCCAAGAAATGTTTGCATGAATTATATCATGAAAACAACGAAACATATGCTACTGAAAATACGAATATCAATAACTTTTACCAATTATAATTAAGTTAAAGTCAAAAATGTATCAAATATATATGAAAAAAAAAAAAAACATAACCATACGAAACCACTACACAAAGTATATCGCCTTTCTCAAAAGATTGAAATATGGAAATGAAAACATAAATTGAATATTTTCACTTTCTCTACACCATCAAGACAATATCATAATTCGAGGCAAGAGAGATTTATTGAGAACTAAATTAATTAAACCAATTAACTGCAAAATGTTAGTTTAAATAGGATATTTGAAACAATCAAATTCATATCGAAGTAATTCAAATTCATAGTCATATCAATCACGAGCATATCGTAGCAATAAAAAAAAGGTTATAGAATTTTTTTTTCAAACGGTAATGTCTACAATTAGATTGTGATGCGGAAAAAGCTTATGTATTTGATATTTAAAAAAATATATAGATCGTTTTATTTTTAATAATCTTCATCAAATCGGTCATCTTATCTCTGCAAGGATTTGTATAGTAAGAAGCATTTCTTACTATACAAATCCTTGATCTCTGTAAGGAGTCACCAAGTGAAAAGTATACAACTGTATTTCTCCTTAACTTTTCCCAGTTTTAATAATAATTGTTTTAAATAAGCATAAGAAATATCCCGATATGGGTTTGTCTGCATTAATGCCAAATTTCATGAAATCCGATTGATTACTATACATAAAGTACAAAAAATGTATCTATATTGATGCATCATATACTATGGTAGATAAGACTGTGTGGCTGTGTGTTAAAAAAAAACTTAAATATTTTGAATTTCGGATTTAAAAGAAACTCTGAGGAGCTAGACTAACCATAAAGGACCAAAAGAAAAATCAAGACCGGTCTGGCCTCGCGAAATAAGAGCAAGAGACATGGTCCTTAGAATCTTTGAATACATAGTTTTGTCATTGAGGAATTCTTCAATGAACATAATCCCAACAGTACGTTTTCAGATACTGAACTGAAATTACCAACGAGGGCTGACAGTTCATGCGTAGAGAGTGTGACTCGGTAGTTGAAAGTAAGAAATTGCAAGTAAATATGTCTGTATGTATCAGTTATAAAAATAGTCATTATTTTGCAAAGATGATTAATTCTCAAAAAATCTTGTGCATAGATTTTAATTTGATTAAGCATTTTATTGGATGAAAATATTTATTGAAATTAACAAAGAATGATATATAAAATGTTCTGAAATAATAATGAACTAT